GCCTCAAAAACTTTCAGAAAGACTGCTAATGACCAGATGACTTGCAAGGAATACAAACACTGCCATACTCCACCCTTCTGTCAGAACCGAAGAAGCTTCTGGAATGGAAAGTGAAATGTCTTCAAGGGAAAACAAAGATCAGTTGCCTTTTGGAAAAGCACCTTTGGGAGAAAATCCAGAATAGGAAGGGTTTAGCACACTAAATTGCATAAGAGGAAGATACCATTAAGAATGTGGTGAGGGAAATGAGGGCAGCTAAAAAAAGTCATTTACATATGATGATACAATGATCGGTTGTAGGACATAAAGATAGGGACTCTAGAGAAAGCTAGATTTTGGAGGTTTCCTGAGAAAGCTAAGATGGAGAAAGAACATGTACAAGTTATGGCATTCTCATACATGCCCTAAGGAGAAACACCTTTTGCAATGGAACTTCTTTCCTTTGGAAAGGAGAATAAGGCAACGAATCTGTTTTGGGATCTAAAATGGAGATTGATAGAGGAAAGAGAATGACCCTTCATTTGTCCCTTGCAAGAACAGTAATTAAAGTTCATGCCACTACTTCTTGACTGATGTGATCCTGACTTTGGAAGTCAGTTGATTTCAGTAAACCCTTCTAATTCATACTAATTTTTCAGTTGATGTTTAAAGGTAAAGGTTCCTTTGCATATACGTGCTAATCAGGGGTGGTGCTCATCTCCATTTCAAAGCCGAAGAGCCAACACTGTCCAAAGACATCTCCATGGTTTTGTGGCCAGCATGACTAAACACTGAGGGCATGTGGAACACTGTTAGTTTCCAACCAAAGTGGTCCCTATTTTCCTACTTGCATTTTTACGTGCTTTCAAACTGCTAAATTGGCAGAAGCTGGGACAAGGAATGGGAGCTCACTCTGTTACATGGTGATAGGGATTCAAACCACCAAATTGCTGACCTTTCTGATAGACAAGCTCAGCATCATAGCCACTGAGCCACCACATCCTTTTATATATTGCCTCTAATTCATATATTGCCCTGATTAATCTTTTGGTTTATGTTTAGATGGTGCCTTATTCAAGATGTACAGAAAGTTGCGCCCTGGGTTATGCCATGCTTGTGAGAAAGGGAGCCCCAGTTTGCTGCTACAACTGTTCTCTGTGTATGGAAGGAACATTCTCTGGGCAAGAAGGTACAGTCAGTGGCTTCAAAAACAACAAGGATACAATCAAAATTATCTATTTCTTTTTTTGGGTACATGATCTAGAAGCAAGAAAAAACCTTACACATCTTGAAGGCATCCACAAGCATTTCAAAGTTTGAGCACTATCACCAAATTTTGTATGGTGATGCGAGCATTAAAATAATCTATTGAGGTGTTACTTTCTTGCTTGGTTTGGGAAAGAGGACAAGTTTTGAGATCTGATAATCACATTCATCTTCAGCTTTTAAAAAGGCTGTTGATTATTTTAACTAATGTTGTATCATATGAATATCCCTGGGCAGAAATACTTTATTATTCCTTGAAAATAAAGAAATTGATTTCTGATGAGGTTTTCATGCTCCTACAGCAGCAGAAACTGATACATGCTAACCATTTTTTTTCAGATGCAGCCCATTGTGAAAAGTGTCCAGATGACCAGTATTCCAATAAGAAGCGGGATCAGTGGTATCCCCAAAAGCATAAGCTTCTTATCCTATGAAGAATCGTTGGGATTCATCCTGACTTTCCTTGCCATTGCTTTGTCCCTAACCACTGCCTTTATTCTGGGAATCTTCATTAAATACCGAGACACTCCCATAGTCAAAGCAAACAACTGTGAACTTACCTACATCCTCCTGGTTTCACTCCTGTTTTCTTTCTTGACCTCCTTTCTATTCATTGGTCACCCGATAAAAATAACCTGTCTCCTTCGACAAACCATTTTCAGTATTGTTTTCTCTGTTGCTGTATCTTCATTGTTGGCCAAGACTGTAATGGTGGTGGTAGCTTTCCTGGCAACAAAGCCAGGAAGCAGGATGAGGAAATGGCTGGGGAAGAGTCTGGCCCACTCGATTGTTTTATCCTGCTCTGGTATTCAAGTAGGCATCTGTATGACATGGCTGGGAATCTTTCCCCCATTCCCAGATTCTGACTTTCATTCCCAGCCAGAACACATCCTGTTACAGTGCAACGAAGGTTCAGTGGCCATGTTCTACACTGCCCTTGGCTACATGGGTTTTCTGGCTGCCATCTGTTTCTTAGTGGCATTTCTGGCTCGAAATCTGCCAGGGACCTTCAATGAAGCCAAACTGATCACCTTCAGCATGTTGGTTTTTTGTAGTGTGTGGATCTCCTTTGTCCCCACCTACCTGAGCACCAAAGGGAAATACATGGTAGCCGTGCAGATCTTCTCCATCCTGGCCTCCAGCCTGGGTTTACTGGGCTGCATTTTTATCCCCAAATGCTACATTATTACACTGAGACCTGACATGAACACCAAGGAACATCTGATGATGAAAACTCATTAAGGTTCCTTGTGTTGGCGTTTATTTTTGTTCACTATACATGCAGTGTAATATCACATACCTTGAAATAATGTTTTACATCTTGTCTCTTATCTGTCTTCATTTCATGTGAATTTTGAATTATAATAATTGAGTAGTAAAGTTGCTAAAACAATTCAAACTCTTTCAATTAATCATATCCTTCAATTGTCACAATCTGAATTCATGTTAAATCATAACTATCATCAATGACATTAATAAAATTTCTGAAACCAGGCCAGATAAACTGTTACCAGAGATGTTCTGATATGGTGTTAGACTAAATTAAGGACTATGGCTAATAATGTGTGTTTTTGTTGCTATATAGGTTGGTGTTATATTTCATTTTCCAGGATGATGTTCTGACTATTAAAAAAACAGTTAATTTCAAATATATATTTGATTGATCTCTTCCAGCTGGATAATGTAAGATCACTCACAGATAGATAAATGAGTTAGATAGATGAGAGAGGCCGAGAAAGAAAGAAATGGAGACAGCTAACATTCTTTATATTAAGAATAGATAAAATATCAACATGAACATTGGAGAAACTTTAACCATTTTCTTTGAATGAATTAATGAGACTTATTGTTATTTTTGACAGCCTTCAATCAAAAGAAAAATGTGTACAACTCTGAATGATTCTGTGGGGAAATCATGTAGACAACCGATGTGACAATGAAGGTGTGCTTATGAGTATTAAAATTGGTTCCTGTTTTTTTATCCATTTCTATATCCATATCTATTTCCATATACATATAGTGTGTGCCAGTGGTAAGATTCCAAATTTTTCACTACCATTTCTGTGGGCATGGCTTGGTGCGCGTGGGAGGGGAAGGATATTGTGAAACCTCCAGTCAGAGGTGGTATTTGCTGGTTCTCCAAACTACTCAAAATTTCCAGTACCAGTTCTCCAGAATTGGTCAGAACCTGCTGAATACCACCTCTGGTGTGTGCATGTCTCTGTGTGTGTCTGTGTGTCCTGCCAATTTAGCTATTCAAAAGCATGTAAATGCAAATAGATAAATAGGTGCCAGTTCAGTGGGAAAGGAACAATGTTCTGTGCATCTACAATGTATAGTCATGCCAGCCACTTGATCATGGAAGCATCTTCAGATAGACCTGGCTCTTCATTTGTGAATCAAAGGTAAGCATTGCCCCTTGTCTTGGTCTCTCAATGCCATTACCTCTGCCTTCCACACTATGTCTCTTTCACTCAGAAAGCATTGGAAAAGCAAAGCCTTCCCAAATGCAATTTCAGTATTCACATTCTGACCAGTTTCACCCATTATGATAAATCAGGATTCTAGATTGTCCAAATTTTGATTTCTGCCATTGTAGTGTCAAACCTACCCTAGCTACTTCTAGGTTATCTGCAAAGGTGAGAAATATTTCCTCCCTCCAAATCAAAGTGTCCAGAGCCCAGCATTCAACAGGAATGAACTCTATAAGAATGAAATGGTATATGGTTTCCTACCTAACCATGGGTTGGGCTAGAAGACCTTCAAGGTCCCTTCAAATTCTGTTATTCTATTCTATTCTATTCTATTCTATTCTATTCTATTCTATTCTATTCTATTCTATTCTATTCTAACTCTGCCATGTAGGCTTATGCACCTCCCACTGGCCAGCTGGTCATTGGGTGTCTGCTATGCATGCGTGTGGTCATGGGGCGCATGCATGGGGATGCGCATACATGTGCGGGGACACAGGCACATTGCATTTGAGGAATGCATGTACACGCTTTGGGCGCTAGGTGCCAAAAAGGTTACCCATCACTGTGATATAGCATTGGCCATAGGCTCAGCTCATGCTGTTTAGCCCTTCACCTTCAGCCATTGTTGGTAATGTACTGATATAGCATCATCCCTTGGTTCCCTGTTAGATTTCCTATGTAAGAGACAGCAAATATCATCATATCATGAAGAAGTCAGTAACAACCTATTTTTCAGATTAATGCACCAGGGAATTTTGACTAGATCTTCTTTGTAACCATGAAGAGTGATAGTATTCCAAATTTTGAAAGATACAATACATTTAACAGGGGCCTCCAATAGGTTGCTCACTATAACATGATCTGGAATTAACCGTTCTGGAGTATCTAACCTTCATTGAGAAAGATGGCCTCATCCACATCACACAGAATAAGAAGGAAGTATAATGGCCCATTGCCTAGTTCAAGAACATTGAACTATTTCCATACATTTTAAGGTTTAGAATCTCAAGAATAAGTTTGCAGACTAAAAAACCAATCGAATTTCCCTGCATTGTTCCTTTCTTGATTCTCAAATTAGGATTATTCTCCTGAGTCAAACAAAACTCTTTTCTCCAACTGCCCACTTTTGTGGCAATGTTAATACCCAACTTCCCTTTTCATTTTTAAAATCACGATTATTTATTCTCCTTTGGGATTTCCACCACCACAATTAGTTTCCAATCAATGTGACAACCAATGGGATAGACAGCATTTGATCATCTGATTTGTAACAGCCTCCTTTAATGATGAGGGCAGAGGTTGGGGTAAAGCTGGGAAAATACTGTAGCAGTCTAAAAGTTGGAAGATAAAACTTCCAAATCTGGTGGCAAACTAGACCTTTCTCACTGTAATTGTGGTCTTCTGTTATCTCTGAGATTTAACTCTGTGCTGAAGAAAGAACTGTAGGAAGGATCTCTTGCAGGATATGTCAAATGTTGCTGCTGCTGCTGCATGTACAGTTTTTCTGCTTCAGCTTCTGTCTCAAATTCCCTATGCCAATATGCTGATGAAATGTCCATTTAAGGTGATAATAGAAGAAAAGGATTGGTTCCATTACTACAAACCAGGAGACTACTGGATTATTGGAATAATGTCTGGAGTCGCACGTTGAATGTACCAATTTTTGTTCTCCAAGCCTCCAACCCACCAATTGAAAAAGTAATTGTCAGCATGTCCAGGATTCTGGTGATTGATTTTACCTGCTCCAATGTTCTTTCTTGGAATGATTTCTTTCTCCTATTCCTCACTTTGAGAAAGGTAAGTCATTGTTGCTCATCCCAATTTGCTTTAGAGGAAAAGCTCTGGGAAAACATGATGATTTTGTAAAACTGGAGTTTGCAAAGTTCCGTTTAAGTTCTTCAACAACACTGGGCAACACTGGGCACTGCCAAAACTGTCCCACAATACCTCTTGCCTGGATGGATTCTGCCTGCTTTCAAAATGATTATCTTGGGACTGTGGAGTCCCTTACTTATTCATATTTATTTTATTTATTTATTAACAATAGTGAAACAGTAGTAAAAATATTGAATGTATACCTTAGAACAGAGTGGTATCTCTTGTATTTTCTCCCTACTGTTTCTTCCCCTTCCTTACATTTACTCTATAATTTCTACCACTCTCTCCATTATTTCTTTCCACCCTTTTGTGGCTCCCCTGTTCCTTTTGGTTTAAATAAAAGGGATACCTTTTAAAAACCAAATTCAAGGAGGGGAGAGACTTGAGGTGATAAGTTAATGTTTAGTCACAGAGGAATCACATTTACTGTAGTTAACTGTAGAATATAGGACAATAACTCTAAAGCCATGAATATTCTGCTGCAAATCTCTAGGTTTAAAAAAGTCTAGTTGAAGAGATATCCCTTCTCAGATGGGTAATACTTCTTGCTAATCTTGAAACCAGCGTTTAGTCATGGGTAGCATAATGGGAAGAAATAATATAATATAATCACAACGTATACATTATACACTTGGTAACGGTAAAGGTTCCCCTCGCACATATGTGCTAGTTATTTCCGGCTCTAGGGGGCATTGCTCATCTCCATTACAAAGCCAGCGCTGTCCGAAGCAGTCTCCATGGTCTTGCGGCTGGCATGACTAAATGCTGAAGGTATGTGGAATGCTGTTACCTTCCCACCAAAGTGATTTCTATTTTTCTATTTGCATTTTTACATTCTTTCAAATTGCTAGGTTGGCAGAAGCTGGGACAAGTAACTGGAGCTCACTCGGTTATGAGATGCTAGGGATTTGAACTGCCAAACTACCTACCTTTCTGATCGACAAGCTCAGCATATTACCCACTGAGCCATCGCTTCCCTATATACTTGGTAGCATCCCTTGTTAAAATTCTGGAGGAGTAGGAAGATACAGATTCCCTGCCCCACCAAGCATTGGACTAGTAATGGGTGTTGCGAGCTGTGAGCATCTGTACTCTGGTGCCAAGGATATGATTTTAATCCATTTTATGGATTGTTGTGAATTGATATGAATGATATACTAGCTTTGTAAATAGGTAAGTCAATAAAACAAACGCTTTGGTTTTGCAAAAGTTTATTCTAAGCAGACTGAAGCAGTTACAATAGTGAGAAACCTTCATACTTTCTTTTTGAGTAAAAAGTTACTATTACTATTGTAACTGTGTTCCTTACCTGGCTACTGAACTATAAGAATAATTTTCCTCATTTTTCCTTCCCAAGTCATAATTTGGAGAAATTTATAGGCAGAATCAGTTCTGGTGATTTTGATAGGATTCCTTTGATCCTGACATGATAAGCTTGCCATCTTTCTCTTCCTTTTTCTCCTGTTCTTTTGGCATGAAGCTCCTAGTGGTGTCAATGGGACTGCTCTTCTGATAGAAATTTCAAAAATGATTCATCATCTGCGAAGTCCAAATAAATGGAATAGTTTAATTAAATAATGAGTATCTGATTTTCTTTCTGGCATTGCACTATATAGATATAAAGCTACACTAAATATGACATGCTTTCTTGAAAGTCCAAACTGAAGATTTGTTTAATTATTTAT